TGAATAGTAGGAAAGGTAACTTCAATAACCTACTTCTTTAAAAAAGAATCTATGTGGATCTATACATTCAAAACATTGCCCCCTGGTGGCCTTAATGAGGAGTTTCAGTTTACTCCCTTTCTAGACAATTAGGTATTTGAGTGACATTCATTATTTATGTTTACATAGGCCTCTTAACTAGAGTTGAGCGAACCTGAACTGTAAAGTTCGGGTTCGTACCATACATTCCGATTTTTGGACCCCGGACCCGAACTCGGACATATCACTGTATGTTCGGGTTGAAGTTCGGTGTTCGGCGATTTAATGGCGCGTTTTGAAAGGCTGCAGGGCAGCCAATCAACAAGCGTTTGACTTGTGTGCCATTAGAAGCCATCACAGCCATGCCTACTAATGGCATGGCTGTGATTGGCCAGTGCAGCATGTGACCAAGCTTCTATGTAAGCTGGTTAGTTAGTATTATTAAATTATGCTCCTACTCGCTATACCGCGAGTAGGGGCATGTCTATTAAACAGTGAGCAGCCTGTGGCTGCTCACTGTTAAAAAAAAAACAAAAAAAATTCCCCCCTCCTGAGCCCCACCCGCGACGCACGAGTGGGGGCTTTTAAACTAAACGGGGGATCTATTGCCCCCCCACCGGCCCCCACCCCTGAGCGGCAGGTGGGGACCCTAAATACCAATAAGGGAGGGACCTAGTGTAGCCTGCCTGTGGGATGCAGGTAGGTTGGAAAAGAGATTAATGTAGCATAGGACTAGCTGAGACCCATATGTCTGCGTGCAGGATAAGGTAGGAGATTTACTAACAGTATGTGAAGTACCCTCTCTAGGTGCAAGTGTTTTTGGATAAGTACGGTTGAGGATGTGGCAGAGAGAGGGAGTGCTTAATCCACTGAGGCTAGTGAAACGGTGTGGCGGCAGCATCTGCATGCTATAAGTGTCATCTGAAAGCTCGGTCAGGTATATGTCAAATAGGCAAAATATCATAAGGGTGCATAAAATAATATAAGTGGTCAACAGTCCTAACTAAAACATAAAATTAATAAGCATCTCAGGTGATGTTTAAAAATATCACTTAAGGTCAGTTGCTCAACTCAGCTTCCTCTGGGAGAAGCCTGGCTGTCAGCCGATCCCTGTGTGTGGCAGTTCCCTCAGGCTTTGTGATAGTCCATGCCATGTTTGGTAGGGCGCTTTTGTGTTCCCCACACCCGTCTGCATACCGGGTCTGCAGGGGTCTTGTGCTATCTCCTGTTGGCTGGATATGGGTGTGTGAGGTCTCCGTCTTCTTGTCCTCAGCCCAAGACCTTTGTGGGAGCCCATGCCTGGTGTCCATTGATCCCTTCATCAGGATCGTGGGCCCATGGGTTCTCCGGGTTCCGGACTGGCCTCTGGGTATATGGACGGCGGTGGGGGGATACCTCCATTTGAGCCCCAGGCGTGGAGGGCCTCAGCATCCCTCATCCGCATCGCAGGAGGTGTAGGTACATGCGAGCCGTGTCCCTTCATAGTCTCCAACTTGGGTGAGGGGTATGCTTCAACGGTGTTGTTGTGGGACCGTTGTTCTGTATGAGAGGGTTGACTCTGAGCTAAGCCGTGGATCTGGCTCCAAAAT